ACATCTATAAAAATAGGATCATATACTGTAAAATGCATATAGCTATTTTTATTTCAGGTGACCTAAGTTTTACATAAAAGATTTATATACATTTATCTAATATGCTGATCCTAGACAGGTGTTGTTGAAGACAGGTCATCGGCGTGCATATACTATGAGTGGGCATATAAACTTTTCATCTTTTATTCCCATAATACTTAGAAAAATGTATTTTGTGATGATCAAACTTACATATTGCTAAGGGAACATGGATTTGTCTCCCACATTCAAGGCCTATAATATAGTAAGGTATGAGCAAGAAAAAAACAGTAGAAAAATCCATGCACACAGAATGCTCCTTTCAGTAGCTGTGCTATTAAATTTTCCTATTTTGCAGTGTTTAAGGACATTTGTTTTCAAAAAAGAAATTTGGTGCACAAATGATATCGTCTGTAAAATCAGTTTCTGAATAAATGCCAGGAAATATTTATATTTTCCTCATAATACTTTTAATGACGCATATTTTACATCTTATTGTACAATAACTGTACAGATCAATTATAATGTTCATTAAAATGCTGGCTAAAAGATATTGTTTACCTGCTGGAAAACCCAGAGGTAAAGATGCAAAATGAGCTTTTGTCTTATTGGCAAAAATTTGGTCTGATAAAAAGTAACACATAAAGGATTATAAAATTTAGGTTTGTGAAATTGCTACCTGAAAGACATTCTTCTCTTGTTGTGCAAAATGTTGAACCATAACAAATCATTTCTGACAGATCTGTCCTTTTAAGTGAGTAGAGTAACATGAACAAATATTGCTGCCTTGTAAGTACAAATCATTTCTCATTGAAACTGTGTGAATAAGAGTTACATATTTTTGTATGCTTTTGACTTCTGAGACTGACTTTTCCCTTGTACAAGGATAAAAAAACTGAAGTGTTATCTAGTTTTCATTGTGAAATTAGATGATGAAGAAAAATTAAAGGCTGGCAAAAGGGCACATGGATAATGAGGCGTTTGTAAAGCTATTGCTTCTGAATTTCAACTCACACTTAGTTTTTATTTCTTCTTTATTCATGGTAGGTAAGTGAATTCAACTTTCTAAATATTTAAGCAGTGTGAAAAAATACATAAATAAATTGATGGTGAAATTATAAAACCACAAGCAGAGTGCAATCTCTTCTTAATGGAGCTGGACTTTCTCACTGTACAGAAGAAGCTCACTGAGATGCCTAGTTTGTAAGTGGGTGAGTGTTTGAGTGGCATCCTGAAATCAGCTCTTTGACACTTTTATTTGTGAATTAATTAGATTAAAACGGTTTTTGTTTGAAATAGAGTAAAAAGAACCCTCAAATCCTTATTTTCTTGTAATTTTGGAAAGTAAAGTTAAGTGATTGTAGACTACAATTTTCCTTTGATGCTATGAAACACTGGACTACCGTCTCTTGCTCTCATTTTGTTTTGGAGGCCATTATACAATCTCTAGCTGTTTCTCCTCCTGCCTTCCTTTTCAGGACTCTATGGAACTCTGCTAATGTACATTATAAATAGACATACTTTGATGTAATAGCCTATTTCAGGGTCTACATTTTTTTCAAAGAATTTAAAATATTTATATATTTTAATTCACTTAGTATCTATTGAGTTGCAATTTATATGAGATAAAAGTGTTCAAACTCCTCACAAATATACTCTGTTTCAAAAATGGATCATTATATTAATGATCTAATGTACAATACAAAACACAATTATAATACCAATTGATGGGACTTTGTGGCATAGTTCATAGGGATTTTGAATATACTCAGATGTTTAAGAAAAAGAATCTGAGTTAAAATTCTACAATATTGATTTCAAAGCTTTTATAATATAGCATTGACAGAAAAATTCTCATTGTTGTTTTATAAGGAATATTATAGTTATATGTGTGAGGAAAAGAAAGGCAAAATTAATTATACATATAATAATTATTAAATATATAAATACCACCTATTGAGTTTTCATAATGTTATTTTATGTATATGATTTTGCTTGGTGTTGGATAACTAGTTCAGCAGATTTCTCTTCCTTGTAAAGTCCATTTCTCCTTTTCTTACTATTCAGTAGTTCCCTATAGCTCTTTATCAAGAGTTGGGGCTCTGAGTTTTCCACTTCTACATTACCATATCTATTGTTGTTGACATTTAAATCTTCTTTAGGTAGCCATATTGTTTAAGTAACTTGAATGTATTTTCCCTGATTTTTCTAGGAGAAGTATACTTATAGCCTATTTAATGTTCCTCTATAATATTTCTGCCCCTATTTTATGATAATTCCTGATATTTATGTGCAAGAGTGATCACATTATCACCTATTCTCTGCATTTTGGTTGGTTTTAGTTTTATGTAATCGTCTCTATTGCAAATAGATGTTTATTTGATGAGAGTGAGAGCTATACTGTATGTGGATGTAAAGATAAGTATTAATTTCCTAATAAAATATTTAAACAACAAAAAATCCAATAACTTATGATATTCAAAAGCTAAAACGTTGGTACAAACACATCTTGTTCTCTATCTTAATTTTACAATTTCAGTCTTGTCTATGATTGGAATTTGCCCTTATTATTTCTTTTTTCTTTTATGATATATTATCTTTGTTCTTATCTTGATTATATTTTCCATTTTTTCTCTCCTCAAAACAAATTAATTTCTTTGCTGTTACTCTGGGGCTACCTATGAAGTAAAATATGTAGAAATGTCTAAAGATCTTCATTCATTGTAAAAAAGTTTTAGGGCAAAAGGCTACAAATTAATCTAAATGCCACTAATAAAATATTGTTATTATAAGGTAGAGATTACTTCATTTTGCCTTTAAAAGTACACTGACAGAAAATGAAACATTATTTGTCTCCTGGACAATTGTGTTTGCATTTGTTGTATGTGTGTGTGTGTGTGTGTGTGTGTGTGTGTATGTGTGTGTCCATATACATATTTTTTACTTCATTGATAATTTGTGAGATTTCCACTTATCTGTTGGTAGTAGTTACTTGATGATATTTGAGGAAACAACATCCAAACACAATATATGGGATTTGCATGTTTTTTCTCACTATTCAATATCCCTCCAGAAGATCATAGTATAGTTATTCCATGTGTCACCATATTTGTTATACTATACTCAAATTTGACACTGCACAAGACCATGTGTGAATGGATCTTTATATATCAAACATCAACAGTTCACTATGGTGGGGTAAAATCTGTGCTTTATTCCATAAATTCTCTAGGCATGGCTTCATTTTGGGAATTGAGTACATTCTCCTTCACATTCCTTGACTGTTTTTCTTAGCTATTTTCTCTAACTCAAGGATTCTGATTAAAAACATTACTATATAATAGCCTAAACTATGTGTTCTTAGTGTGTAACTGGTACTTAAGTTCTATGGCATTTGTGTTTTGTTCCTGAGAGCCATTTTTGAAATTGAAATATTTTTAAATGCTGTATTTATTTTTTTTCATCTGAAAATCCTGCTAATTCTGACTTTACCAAACTGTCTGATGATAGTCCAGCATCTAGTAATGTGAAATAATTTAATAAATATATCTGAATTAATGAATAGAGATCATTAATGAATTAGTGACTACACCTTGGCAGAATGCCTTAATTGTAACACCCCAAATTGTTCATATCTCTCACATTTCCAGTTTCAGTTTGAGTTATTACTGCTTTTATTATTATCCCTTTAAGAAGAGATGTTCATAAATTATTCAGCATATAATTGTAAAAAGATAAAGACTTCCAGTTTCTATTAGGAATTTGTAGGTACAAGCTTTTGAATGGGTCAAAAGAACAAACTTTAACTTCTAGTGTGAATTCATATGAGCTTTGGCACAGAGAACAATAGCTGTTTTATAAATAGCATTATGTCTTGCAAAAATGTAGATTTTGATATCTTTAGGATATTAAGAATTTCTGAAAGTGTTCTCTTTGGCTCTCTAATCTGTGATTCACATTGTTATTTTGTTCTTCTTCTTACTCAACCATACACATACATACAATTTCTCCATGGGCCTAACATGTAGCCAAATACATGGAATTTCTAATATTGATTTGATTTTTTTTCCCTTTAGAGCTCAGGATTCAATATGCTTCTTAGGATACAGTCAATATCACCTTTTAATGTGTTGCTTTGATTTTATTGACTTTTTCAACTTACACAGCAAAGAAAAATGTAAGTATCAAATCAAGAGTGTTATTGGAAGCATCCAGAGCAACCTCTCTGGAGAAGGCTGCATGAATAAGTGGGTCTGTCCTGCCCTTATCTAGCAACACCATTTCCCTTACTGCCCATACTTGAATCTCCATTAAAATTCTTCCTTAATTACTACAACGTTTTCAAAACACTTTTGAAATCCTCTTTTCCCCAACTTGTCTCTTTGGCAGCCTTTTGTGTCTGTGGCGCTTACTCTGCCTCTCTGTGTCATGGTCACTATAGCAGTTTTCCTGCTGGAGTCTTTATGGAGAGTAAACCATTACTCAATCCTTTTGACCAAACAGGTTTTATGCCCAACAGCACAAAGACCTTCTTTGTGTGAAAGAAGCATTAAAGTTCTAGTCAAATTTGCAAGTAAAAAGTGTGGAACTACTGGGGAACCACTAAAGCTTCCTTGTTTTTTCTTGCTAGGCTGTATATGGCAGAAGAATAACTGGTTTTATAAAGAACACCATCCCAAATTCA